CCTCCAGGTCGACCGCAGCCTGAGGGCACGTCATGTCCAGGTTTGTGTGCCCTCGGGCTCCCAGCGTAGGGTCGACCCCCTGGCGCCACTTCGACATGCGATGGACGAAGCCTGCTCCTCCTTGTGAGCCGTCCTTAAGCCTCTGGCGCCACGCCTTGGCCCTCTGGTCTCGAAGTCCCTGCTCGATGACGTGGGCCTGCTGCGTGGCCCGACGCTGCAGCTCCATCGCCCTGGGGGCATCCTCCCAGAGCGCGTCGCCGTCCCAGGTGAGGTCGCCCAGTGCGAGGAGCTCGGCGTACACCGCCTTGGCGTCGTCCCCCAACGCGCCGCACCAGCGGGCTGCCCCGTGGTGGAGGCGCCTGCGCAGGCGCCGCCACTGGTCGGCGTACGGCTGCCAGTCGCGCCTCTGACGGGCAGCATGCGCCAGCCAGACGATGTCCCCGACACGGCTGGCCACCCAGCGCCATGCCCTGGAGCGCGTAGTGCCCCTGGGCCTCGCATGCGCCTCTGGGCCTGCAATCGGGGCTCTGGCCCAGCGGGGGTGACCCCCCCTGCCCGTGTAGTCGACCTCGCCAACGAGGTCGTGGATGCCCTGCAAGTCGTGCTCGGCCGCCGCCGAGAACCTCGCCCACAGCTCCTCCAGCTCGGCGTCGCTGTAGTTTGCTCCACTGTCGAGGATTGGCCATGCTGGCGGCTCCCGCCGACAGCCCACGGGGAGGCGAGTCGGGAATGCCCGAGGCTTGACCGGCCTCCAGCCTAGCCGCTCCCGCAGCGACCTCTCCGTCGTGATGGCGACGGGGCTGTGCGGGGCGGTGGACGCGTCGAGCACCTCCGCTGCACCAAAGGCTGACGCGATACGCGTGTCCACCACGAAGTGGTCGATGACCCTTCCGCCCCCCTTGCCCTGGCAGGTGGGATCGGACGAGGAGAAGATGGTGCCCCCAACGTCGGCCACCCACCCCGTGGCCGTGAGCGTGTCTGGGATGTTGTTGAAGTCCGCCTGGAGGACCCATGGGATGTCGTAGGCCCTCACGAGCTCGCCAATGGCGTCCCAAATGGACAGGTTGCGGACGGTCCAGCCCTCGGAGACCCAGAAGTAAGCGCTGAGGACCATGAGGCCTCCTCGAAGAAACCCAGGAGTCCAGGCCGCCGCCAGCCTTCCTGGCGATCCTGGCGGCGAGAAGTCGAAGGTGTCCACGCCTTCGAGGTAGGTGAGGCCCACGCAGCGTGGGGCGACGATCCCCACCCCAGCCACCCTGCCGCCCCCTGGCCCCACCGCTGCGGGTGCGAGGGCGACGGTGAGGTGCCTCTGGAAACAGCTGGCACTAACCTCGCCGACGTAGTCACTGGTGAGGCGATGCTCCTGCACCAACATGATGGTGTTCCTGCCCAGCGGCATCTCGTCCAGGTGGTCGACGAGGGTGCCCCAGGCGCTGCCGTTGAGGCCTCTGAGCACCATGCCAGGCTTGGCTTGGCGCCCCTTGCCTCGCGATCTGGGCCTCCAGTGTTCCTCTCCCCAGCTGGGCTGCTTCGGCCACCCCTCCGTCGGGGGGGCCGAGCTGGGGGCGCCCGTGTCGAGAGGCGTCGACCACCCGCACGTCTGCGGCTCTCGGTTCCACGAGCACATCGCTGGTGGCATCGACCACCCGCCTGTCGGCGGCACCAGCGAGAGGGGCGCATGGGGAGAGGCTTCGGCCACCCGCGCACCCGCGGCTCTCCACTCCTGCGCCACTGGGGCCTCTTCCGAGGCGGTTGCGGCCATGCTCGAGGCTGAGCTGAGGCCCATGTCGGGCTTTGCCTTGCGCCCCTTGCCTCGCGGTCGGGAGTCCCAATATTCCTCTCCCCAGCTGGGCTGCGTCGGCCACCCCCCCCGTCAGGGGAGCCGAGCTGGGGGCGCTCGTGTCGAGAGGCTTCGACCACCCGCGCGTCTGCGGCTCTCCGTTCCACGAGCTCATCGCTGAAGGCTTCGACCACCCGCCTGTCGGCGGCATCAGCGAGAGGGACGCATGCGGAGAGGCATCGACCACCCGCGCATCCGCGGCTCTCCTATCATGCGTCATTGGGTCCTCCTCCGAGGCCTCGGTAGCCGTAGTCGAGGCTGAGCTGACACCCATGCCAGGCTTGGAGCGCCACCCTCTGCCCCGTGTCCGAGGCCTCCAGTAGTCCTCTCCCCAGCTGGGCTGCGTTCGGCCACCCCCTCGTCAGGGGAGCCGAGCTGGGGGCGCTCGCGCAGAGAGGCGTCGACCACCCGCACGTCTGCGGCTCTCTGTCCCACGAGCTCATCGCTGATGGCTTCGACCACCCGCCTGTCGGCGGCATCAGCGAGAGGGGCGCATGGGGAGAGGCTTCGGCCACCCGCACATCTGCGGCTCTCCACCCCTGCGCCTCTGGGGCCTCTTCCGTGGCGTCCGTGGCTGTGATCGAGGCTGAGCTGCCGCCCCGCCGTCGGAGCCACGGCGCGAGCTGCTGGCGGCGGAGCGTGTCCGCTCCCCTGAGCGCCCTCCGTGCCCAGGTACTCGAGGAGGAGCTGTCGCCGTCCCCGTCCAGGATGTCTAGGCCCTCCTCTATGGCTGGGACGTGGACGCACGTCCCCACGATGAAGGCGACCCGCTTTGGCCCAGGCTGCCAGCGCCTGCCCGCCCTTCGGGGCAGCTCCTTCTGGTCGGGCGCAGGAGGCGCCCCCCTTGTAGTGGTAGTGCTCGTAGAGGTAGCGGGGGCCTCCACGGCCCCGTCGATGTCGTGAGGAAAGGCTGGTGCTCCTCGCCCTCGCGCGGCCGCCTTGCCCCGACCGCGGCGTGGGCGCTGGCGCCACCGTCGCCAGCCTTGCGGGGCTGGTCCCTCAGTCGCTGGAGTCTGTGTCCGCCCCTGGGGGTTTTGCTGCAGCCCGCTCCAGGATCCTGGCTCGGGTTCCCTGTGCCAGCTCGCGCTTGGGAGCCCTGCCCGTGGCTCCCGCAGGAGCAGCGGCGCCTGCCGCGCCGCCTCCGCTGGCTGCAGCAGCGCCACGAGCACCGTCAGCGCCAGCAGGGGGGGTGTTAGGCCCCGCTGTGGGGGCTGCCTTGGCCGCGGCCGCCCCTGGCTGCTTGTAGTCTGCGCCACCTTTGCCTGCTGCCTTGCTTGCTGGCGCCGCTGCGGCGGGAGCTGCGGCGGACTCTGGCGGGGGGGGCTCCGACCGAGCCCTCTTGCTCCTGAGCCTGTCGCTGAAGGCCTGGAGGTCCGCTCGCATTGCGGCGAGCCCCTCCGCCGTTGGGCCGAAGTGCCTCTTGACCTCCGTCTGGACCTGCTTGACGAATTGGCCCATCTGCTCCTGGAGCTGGCGGTGCTCCTCTGGCGGGATGTCGAGCCCCTCGAGGTCGAAGGCCTTGCCCGGCCGCACGCTGAAGATGTCCAGGTCGCCCTCGAGCAGCTGCGAGAGGTCCAGGGCTGGCGTGGGCGCCTCGGCTGGCGCGACGGCCTTGGGCGCCGCTCTGGCGTAGGCCTCCTGGACCCCCGCCTCCGCGTCGGCGATCTCGAGGATCCAGTTCTCCCGCAGCTCCTTCTGGTCCTGCAGAAATCGCTCGCCCTCGGAGATGTTGTCGATGGTCCTCTTGAGCCCTGCCTCTGCCCTGCGGAGCCGCGCCTGGGCCTGGTTGAGGGCAACGTCTGGGTGCACCTCTGGAGTGTGCACTCGGGCGAGCGCCTCGAGGTGCTGGGCGGCCTCTGCGTCGCCGTCGGGGATGGTGGCCCGCAGCTGCTTGAGGAGCTCCTCGCGGTTCTGCTTGGCCGATGGGCGACTGCGGCCCCGCGAAGAGGCGCTGGGGCCCCAGGTGCCCTGCGAGGCTCGTTCTTGAGAGGTGGCTGGCTGCATTCCCCTCTGGCACTTGTAGCACTCAGACCTGTTGCCCCAGTTCCACTTATACCCACATCCCCTGCACTTTTCGTACTGGCTTCCAGTCCGCTGATCATCCTTCTCATTGCGCCCCATGCGCCCGTGAAGAACTGATCTCCTGCCCAACCAGTACGATACAGGAGCTCCTCGGAGCGTATACAAAACGTGAGGGCGCCTGCCTTGCCCAGCAGGCCCCTGATGCGCGGGCCGAGCCTGCTGGGCAGGCTCCTGGTCTCTGCAAACCACCTCGAGAAATGGTTTTTACTTGAGCCAAAATGGCTACGGGGAGGAGGAGGAGGAGGAGGAGGAGGAGGAGGAGGAGGAGGAGGAGGAGGAGGATGAGGATGAGGATGAGGATGAGGATGATGAGGATGAGGATGAGGATGAGGATGAGGATGAGGAGATGATGATGATGATGATGATGATTGATGATGATGATGATGATGATGATGATGATGATGAGGATGAGGAAGACGATGAGGAGGATGATGAGGAGGAGGATGAGGAGGAGGAGGAGGAGTGATAGGAGGAGGAGGAGGAGGAGGAGGAGGAGGAAGGGAGGAGGAGGAGGAGGAGGAGGAGGAGGAGGAGGAGGGAGGAGGAGGAGGAGGAGGAGGAGGAGGAGGAGGAGGAGGAGGAGGAGGAGGAGGAGGATGAGGAGGAGGAGGAGATGGAGGAGGGGAGGAGGAGGAGGAGGAGGAGGAGGAGGAGGAGGAGGAGGAGAGTGGCCTCTTGGGGGCCTTTGGGGGCTCCACGGGAGGCTCGTTTGCCGTCTGCGCTGGTTCCTGGCCCGCCCGACGCCCTCGGGAGCCGCCTTGGGGGGCTTCTCTGGGCCTCCTTTGGGGGGGCCCTCTCGGTGGGCTTCGGGGCCGTCCGGGAGGCCGTTCGGGGCGCCTTGTGAGGTTCGGGCTGAGCGAAAGGGGGGTTTGAGAATCAGCTCACGTAGCTGATTTTCCCGGCGCCTGCCGGCGCCAGAGGCGGCTATGCATCGAGGAATGGGCCCCTCGGTGGGGCCGAAACCAGCTGCATGCAGCAAATTTCTTCCCCCCCCCCATTTCCCAATCCCCCCCTTTCGTCCGGCCCGAGCCTTGGGAAGTCGCCCTCCCGCGCGGGGGGCCGCCCCCCCCAGGAGCGCCTGGACGTCATGCCGCCGGCGGGGTGCAGGCGGGCCAGCAGGGCGCGCTCGTCCCACTCGACGTGGTCCTGCGGGGGGATGTCGCGCCCTGCCGGGAGGAGCGCGGAGCCCTCCACCGCCGCCGGGGGGGGGGGGCGGCCGAGGGCGCCCGAGGACGGCGGCGGCGATGAGGGCGACGAGTCTGGCGAGGACGAGGGCGGCCGACGAGAGCAACGGACCTCGGACGAGCACGAGGAGGGGGAGAAGGAGGAGGAGGAGGAGGAGGAGGAGGAGGAGGAGGAGGGGGAGGAGAAGGAGGAGGAGGAGGAGGGGGAGGAGGGGGAGGAGGACGAGCACGGGTGAGCAAACGTTGAGGGCGACGGGCCCGGCGCGGACATCGCCTGACGCTCTTGGTCCATCTTCAGGGCAGCTCGGGCCGTCTTTGGCTCCTCGGGCGGCCACCTCGCGGTTGGTCTCTGGGGCCCTCTCTGGGCCCCATTCAGGGCGCCACTTTGGACATCTTGGGAGCTGACTGCGTTTGCGCGTTGGAGCCTCTCATCGACATATGAGGGTCTTCGGGCATCGTAGAATCTTGGGCTTGGGTCTTGAGGCATTCTGAGGGGCGCCTTTTAGAGGTATCCGCAGAGAGCCAGCACCGACGCTACGAACACTGCGATCCTGAAAGAAGACAGCCGACAAGGCAAGGAGACAGGGCGCGACAGGCGGGGACAAGCGCGGAGGGAAAGGGAGACGGGCCGAGGAGTCGAGGACGGGATGGAGGGACAGAGGGAGGCGGGAAGGAGGCGGGAACGGGATGGCCCGTCCCCTTCCCGCCTCCTCCCCGCCTCCCCATCCCCGCCTCCCGCATGGGGGGCAGCGAGGGAACGGGGCGGCTTGTTTTGCATGACGTGGGCACCACCGCGAACTGCCTTCTGTACGAGAAGCAGGCGGAACACGGCAGCTGAGAAGTTGTGGGCACGCCGGCGGCCCGCCCGTGCTCGCGGCCGCAAGAGAGGGCGAGAGGATGAGGGATGAGGATAGGCACGCGACCACCGGGGTGGGGGGGGGAGGATGAGGACCCTGACCTTCCAGGAGGGCCAAAAAATAGCACCAGGACCTCGAGGTCAAAATTCCTGTCGAGCCAGATAGGTCTAGAAGTCTGGAGGGCTATTGTTTAGCACTCTGGAAGGTCAGGGGAGCATGGGGAGGATGGGGAGTCACGAGGACGAAGAGTTACAGGAGGATGAGGATCTCTCCGGAAGAAGAAAGGGTACCAGTGGAACTCCCGCTCCCTTCGTGGAGACCAGCTGCTGTTGTACACCACACGCACGCTGCAGAACATGTATCACATCGAGAGAGAGAGAGAGAGAAAGAGAATCGACCTGCATCGTGGCGTCAACAGAAGCAGAAATGGTGCGTCCTCGCCGCAGAACATGCCGCGAAGCTCCTGCGGGCTGAATGATCGCAAACTGTCGAGATCCAGCACCTTGTCACGGCGGGCGCCGCGCTCCGGAGAGAAAGAGACGGAGAGAGAGGAAGCGAGCGAAGTAACGACAACAATAACAACACCAACACCAGCACCAACAGCTGCAACGACAACAACAACAAACACAACAACATCAACCACAACAGCAGCACCAACCACAACAACCACAGCAACAACAACAACAGCCACAGCAATGACACAAACAACAACAGCAGCATCAGCACCAACCACAACAACAGCAACAACAACTGCATCAGTAACAACACAGGCAGCAACAACAACACAACATCAACATCAGCACCAACACCACCACCAACAACAATAACAACAACAATCCAACATTGCAGGATAGAAAGGAGAGACGGAGGAATCGTATACTGGTTATGATGGAGAGAACATGGGCGAACAGAGGATGTGGAATAGGGATGGTAACGAACTGTCGTCGAACGCCAACACGTAGCGTAGCGCGAGAACAACCGATGTGGTGCAACATATGCGTGGCAATGTGTATGATGCGATACATGCGGCGCACTGGGATACCTCCTGCAAACCACGTGGCGCAAATTGGGCGGTGCAGGCGTTTCGTCCGTGCAATCTGGAGTATTAAGCAGGCGGGTGCTTTCATGGTTATCCGTAATCGTCTTCGATACTTGTTACCATCATAATACTAATAACTAGTACTACTCTTCGACGCCAACTCAAATAAGTCAGCCAAGTGACTTCCCAAATGGTCCGAATAGATGGGGCCGGCTATTCGCGGCGCATCGCCGATATCGAGAAACTCAGGCGCCACAGCGCGCAGCATCGCCGATGCATCGGCAATGCGGCGCGATCCTCCCTCCGACCCCATCTGCTCCGACCCCGCTCGGGAGTCCAAGAGCTCCGCGCGGACCTCCGAGGGCCCGATTCCGTGTGTGCTTGCCTGCTTAGCCTACTGCTCTGACTCGATGCCAGCTCTCTGGAGGCAATCCCTGGGATGGCTTCGCGAGAGCGGGCAGAGGCTCTCAATTCCGATTGGGGGGGCCGTGGAGCCAGAGCGAGCTGGCGCAGGCCCGAGATGAAGCCCGACGATGAGCTCAACACACACACACACACACACACACACACACACACACGGGATAGAGAGGCACTGAACGGGAGACTATCGCAGAACAGGCTGGCGTTGGACCCCGCGTGTGCCCAGCTAGGCCGCCCAAGTCCGCGCGTCGCGCCCCGACGCGCGGTTTAATCTTCGCGCCCTCGCGCCGCCGCCCAGGAGAGGGGCCCCTCGCTTGCCCACGCCGCGATGCGCGAAGCACGACTGTCTTCGCGCCCCCAGGGGGGTGACGCAACCAGACATCCGACGTCATGATTTTTTTTGGTTCCCGAGATCTCGACCCATTCCGCGGGACTGGCTTCTCGTCCTGAGTCGTCCTCTGACCGTCCTGGGGCCTGGGAAGGGGCCCCCAGAGGCCGAAAACTGTCCAAGGCCGAGCAACAATCACGTCGTCCTCCCTTCCTCTCCCCCTCGATTTCTCGCTCCTCGGCTCCTCACTCTCCTGCCCGTTCCGTCCCTTGCCTGGCCCGCTTTTCTTTGTCGGCCCGTCCCGTGGTCTGAATAAAAGCTGCCGTTGCCCGCACTGCCACGCTGGCGAATAGCCAGGCGTGGGGCGAGGACTTGACAGGCCTCCTCAGAATTGGCTTTCTTTGAGTCTCTTGGGCTTTTGGCCATCGGGCGTTGTTTTCACAATTGTTTCTTATTATTTCGGGTACCGGGGGGCCGGCGGGTAATGGTAACGGCGGCCGCGGCGTGCGCCCGCCAGGGTGCGTCCGCGCCATCGGCACATCAATTGCCATGCCTGCTGAGAGGAGGGGGGCCCGCGCCCTCCAGCCCCAAAAAACGTACGATCGTTAGCGTTACCCCGGGGGGGGGGAGTGCCCGGGTAACAAGCGTTACTCGCCAGAGGGGGAAAAAACGCTCTCCGTGTAGAGAGACCTGCCCGACTCGAGCCCAGACCCTCGGAGAGGCCGGGGCGCCTCCGACAGGCCGGCCCGGAGGGCGTCGACCTGCGCGGCGACGCCCTCGCCGAACCAGAAGGCCGCGGCCTGCGGGGCGAGGCCCGGGCGGGGCTCGCAGGGGAGGCGCCCGCGAGAGGCCTCCTACCTACCGAGTGGAGGGGGTCGGAGGATCGCGCCGCATCGCCAATGCATCTCGGGCCGGGCGAAAGGGGGGGATAACAAGGGGGGGGTTTGAGAATCAGCCCACGTAGCTGATTTTCCGGGCTCCTCCCGGCGCCGGAGGCGGCCATGTATCGAGGAATGGGCTTCTCGGTGGGGCCGAAACCAGCTGCATGCAAAAGATTTCGTAACCCCCCCTTTCCCAATCCCCACCTTTCCTCCAGCCCGAGCATCGGCGGCGCATCGGCGACGCATCGCCGACGTCGGCGGTGCATCAGCGACGCCAGCGTGAAGAAAATCGGGCTCCGCATCGAGCCGCATCGCCGATGCAGCGGTCATGCGGCGCGACCCTCCGACCTCGTCAAATCCTGGATTCGAGGACGCCGGCGAGGTGTGCGCCATCCCAGACATCCGACGTCACGATTTGCTCGAGACGTGGGCCCCCGACCTCCCGACCACTTCCATGGGACCGGTTTTTCATCCCGAGTCGTTTTTTGACGGTCCCGAGGCCCGTCGAGGGCCCCGAAAGGCCAAAAACTATGAAAAACCTCAATCTCGATTTTTTCGAGACGCCCGATGTCTGGGATCGGCGATGCGGCGCGATCTTCCGACCTCGTCAAATCCTGGGCCCGAGGACGCCGGCGAGAGGTGTGCGCCAGCCAGAAGCTCGGCGCGCCCCGAGCGCCCGCGGCCCGTGCCGCCGCCGCACCCGCCGCCCGATAGATCTGCGCGAGGGGCCCCCGCCAGAGAGCCCGGGGTCCGCTGCTTCCAGTGCGGCAGGCCGTCCTGGATGTCGGCCTCCAGGGCCCGAGCTTCGGGCCCTGGAGGCCATCAAGAATGGATCCGGGACGACAAGCCTAAAGGGGCCCCAGGACACACAAATAAATACACACAAATAAAAAGATGTCCCATATTTTCCAATATTTTCTGGGTTTTGTCTTCCCCCCAATTCCCATACTTTCCCGTATTTTCTTGGGAATCGACGATTAATTGTGTCTGTGTGTTTTTTCCCCTCCTAAAAGCCACAGCCCTGGAGCAGGGGTCGGGACCCGTGGGCCCGCGGGTGGAGCATGCATCACACTGGCGGATGTCTGGGCACCTAGCAGGGGGAAGTCTCACGCCACTGGCGCCCTCACCGCCCTCCTGGCGAAGTGCTGCCCTGCCGCCTCCTCCGCTTTGATTGCGGACAAGGGAGGAGGAGAAGGAAGAGGAGGAGGAGGAAGAAGAGGAGGGGCATGAGGGGGAGGAGGAGGAGGAGGAGGAGCATAGAAGGAGGAGGAGGAGGAGGAGGAGGAGGAGGAGGGGGAGGGGGAAGAGGAGGAGGAAAAAAAAGAGGAGGGGGAGGAGGGGGAAAGCGTCCGAGAAGGGGCCGGCACAAGGGGGCAAAGCATCGAGCGGGCATCTCGACAGGTCGGCGGCACTGGGCGCGTCGCGGGGCCCTGGGCTCGCGCGGGGCTCGTCACGGGTCGCCGTGAAGGAAAAGCACGGGCACCGAACTTCGCGCACCGCGCCCCGCGGTGCGCGACCGTCTTCGCGCCCTCGCTCCGCCCCCCGGAGAAGGTCAGCCGATCAGGCCCAGACCGCGGTGCGCGATGCACGAGTATCTGCTCGCCACCGCGGGTGTCTGGGGGAAATGCGTCCCGAGTGAGATGCCTCCTGATGTCTTCGCCGCTTTTGACCTGACTGCCCCCTCCACAGGCGCCAGGGCTGTTATACATGACTCAGCCCCGAAGTCCTGGACCCGCTTCTCACAGGACACGCATCCGTCATCAAAAATTTTAGCGAACGACGCACGGTGTGGGACGACGTTGCTGACATCGGTGACGCCTGTCACAAGGCAGTCGAAACGTTCTGCCGACAGCGCTACGGCAGCACATGGGAACAAAAATAAAAGACGTTCCAACGGCTCTGGAACTCACGCCCCCTACGGCAGAAACGTGGATCTTCATACCGCCGTGCGTCCGCAAACTCACGCCGTGCTGCTCGTGGTTGTCGCCAGGTCCCCAGACCGAGGAGACTTCGAGGAATCTAGGTTCAGAGATTGGTGGTCCTTGCTCGCCTTCTCTGGGTCTGGCTGGATCCCATGGGGAATTCTGGCCCGATCGCACCCCCAGATGGGTCCTGGGGTCGAGCTTTGATCCTCGGAAACTGGACCCACTTGCTCCTCCTCCTCCTCCTCCTCCTCCTCCTCCTCCTCCTGCTCCTCCTCCTCGGCGGACGATTGTTGGTCACGTTCAGCCTCTGGAAGCCCTCGCCAGGCCCACGGGCCGTCAAAATCGACCCAGGACGAAACGACAGCTCTCTCGGAAAGGGTCGTGGCCCCTGGGGTCCCCACACCTGCTAAACACATCATCGGATGTCTGAGCCGTCGTCATGTCGCAGCCAGCCAATACCTTCGGGTGCAAGATGACGGGGGCGCCGTGAGCGTCGGCATCGAGGGATCCAGGCAGACGATCCTGATGGGGCACGAACGGGCCCCCAAACCGCCCACGGGGCCCTAAACTGCCCGAGAGAAAACGCCGTAAACATAAACTCTTTGCGTTCCGCGCTGCTTTTGGAGGATCCGCGCTGGACCCCCCCTCCCTGGCGCGCGGAGCGCGCCAGGGGCGGCGCCGGAGGCGCCGTCAGGGGGGTCCCAGCGCGGATCCAAGAAATCCGCGCGGAGCGCTAAAAGTGAATTGCGAGGCGGGGATTTATCCATACCCACCGCCTGCGAAGCGACGTCCTGTTGCCCTGGCGGGCAGTGGATATGGATATACTTCTGCCCCCGGGGGCCTGAAGATGTCCACACCCGCCGCCTGCCGAGGCTCCGAAAACTGACCCCTCAGGCGGTGGTCATGTATAAACCCCCGCCTCGGATGAACGGTCACGGCGTTTGTTCTTCTTCGAGAAATCGCAGAAAAAAACACAACTTGAGGAGCCGTTCCCTCCGGATCCGAATCCTTCCCTGTCCGGTGCGCCAAAGAAGGGGGCCCCTGAACGAGAGGGTTCAGAGCACCACAATCCGAGCCACGTGCACGGACGAGGGGGGGCAAGGGACGCATTGAACGAAGAAGAAGAGGAAGAAGAAGAGGGAAAAATATTAATAATCAGCATAATCACGAGACAAGCATACATCAGAAGAAAAAAAGAAAAAGAAATAACCACTCGATCCACGCCTCCGATCATCCCGACGCACGAGGGCGGCCCGGACTCCAGCCCGGGGGCCGCCGGCCTGCTCCACGAAACTCCCGACGTTCTCGCGCGTGACGGGCAGGGACTCGCCCCTGGCACGCCCCGCAGCGCGCGGGCCCACGGAGGCGTCGAGCGCAGGCCCCCCCACCCCTTCAACGGCTGTCGAGGCAGGTCTTCGCGCACCGATCGGGGGCCCGGACCCTCGGCCAAATACGGGGATGCGACCGCAGGTGGGAGGGGGAGGAGGAGGAGGAGGAGGAGGAGGAGGAGGAGGAGGAGGAGGAGGAGGAGGAGGAGGAGGAGGAGGAGGAGGAGGAGGAGGAGGAGGAGGAGGGGAGGAGAGGAGGAGGAGGAGGAGGAGGAGGCGGAGGGGGAGGAGGAGGAGGAGGAGGAGGAGGAGGGAGGAGGAGGAGAGGAGGAGGAGGAGGGAGGGGGAGGAGGAGGAGGAGGAGGAAAAAGAGGAGGGGCATGAGGGGGAGGAGGAGAAGAAGGAGGAGGAGGAGGAGAAGGAGGAGGAGGAGGAGGAGGCAGCGTGACCTCTGGCGAGCGGCGTGCAGGTCGCTCCGTGCGTGGCGACTTTCGACGGCCTGCCAAAGCCTGGGCCTGGCCTCCCTCTCCGCGCCGCCGAACCGCCCGAGAGCAGCGCGCCAGAGACCACTCCGGCGAAGGGGCAGGATCAGTCACAGGGGAACACAAAGTGACATAAAGATAAAAACTCGCCTGCTGCTTGTCGTGCTGGGCACCTTCATATTGTGGTTCGGTTGGTATCGTTTCAACTGCGGCTCCACCCTCTCGATGAACGAGGGCGCTGGCCTGTTGTCCGCCCGGGTTGCCATGAACACGACGATCTCCGCCGCGATTGGTGGCATGACCGTTTTCATAGGGGAACAAAAAGTGGCATACACATAAAAACTCGGAGGTCCGCGCGGACTTCTTGGAGTTTTTATGTGTATGTCTTCGTTCGTTCCCCTAAATCAAGGTCGAACCAGCAAATCCGATTCGGGGGTTGCTAGAAGTGCCCCTGGCCCGCGGTGCCCCCAGCTTCCTGTTCCATTCTGGAGCCTCGAAGGCCCTCTGGGCCTCGAGAGGGGTGCCCCGGAGGCCGTTGGGGCCACCCCGCTTGGGTCAGGGGTACTTCTAGCAACACCCGACCGATGGAACCGACATGCTCATCGTATCGAGCTGCATCGGCACGGAATCGAAATTGAATCGGATACGCCATGACACACAACAGCGCCATGATGCAAGCCCCATCGGATCGTCGGAATACTGGACTCGAATCGGATCGGGCCAGCCGGAATCGATCGAATCAGATCGATCGGATCGAAAAGGACATTCAGGTGTCACTTGGCTTTCGAGTCACAGCTCGGACCTCTGGCGGCCGCTCGGGACGATTCGGGCACCCCTAGATTGTATTCGGCGAGGGGCAGCTGCCGGAGAGCGATCCCGAGGCAGGAAAGCTCCAGTGACCGACGAGCGGGTCCACAAGCCCTCAGGGTTGCGAAAGCTATACGTATGCACTGCTCCCTGGCCAGGCCAGGGAGTCGCTCAAACCCTTCGTTGCTCGCACCCTTCGGGCGGGTGGTAATGGGGGAACCTACAGCCAACCCGAATAACAAGAACGCACAGAACGCACGATGATGATGATCCCCGCACGCTGCGCAAGTGAGCAGTCGTCTCAGGGCGAACGCGCGGCGCGCGCCCGCGGCGGCCCGTAAGGCGGGACAGGCCTACGCGGGCGGGCCGTGCGACGCTCTCAGGCGGCCTCGTTCAACGAGGGCACCCGGGCGGCCAAGGGAGGCCGCAGCAGCGCCGCAGGTCAGCCTTCGAAGAAGGAGGGAGGAGAGAGGGAGGGGGCCGAGAAGCTGCAGACGACTGCAATCAGCGGGCGCGATGGGGATAAGAAGAAGCATCCCCGCACGCTGCGCAAGTGAGCAGTCGTCTCAGGGCGAACGCGCGGCGCGCGCCCGCGGCGGCCCGTAAGGCGGGACAGGCCTACGCGGGCGGGCCGTGCGACGCTCTCAGGCGGCCTCGTTCAACGAGGGCACCCGGGCGGCCAAGGGAGGCCGCAGCAGCCACACCCAGGCTCAAAGCCCTTGCGAAGTGACAAGGTTTCGGCGGGCGGCCGCGAGCTGAATGGGCCACACAGCCGGGCCAACATTCAGAAAGGATGCGACGAGGAAGTCGCTGGAGTCGGCGAGGTAAGAAACACGGTCCCGAGCAGCTTCAGCCAATGATGGGAGGACTGCAGAGGCGGCAACATCGTAAAGATATCGCTCCGTACTGGAAGCTTGCCGCCAGCGATCACGCCAGAAGACGCGAGTAATGCCGTCCGAAATATCGGTTCTGAAGCGCAGCGCAGGGGACAGATCGAACCCCGATGGCGCTCTGGCGAGCGGGACGCCCAGCGCCGAAAGAAGATCGAGCCACCGAGTACGGAAGCCGCTTTGACCGAAGGTCAACAGGGGATCGGTGGGAGTCAAATCTCTGAAGACCAGCTCCATCATCCTGACCACTGCTCGGTCGGAGCACCGAGCGTGTTGACGCTCTCCGCCCGACCCCTGGGCCTCCGGAACAGAGATGCTCAGCAAAGCGTCGCCCGCGGACTCACGGCGGTCAATGGGCAGAGTGAGGTCGCTCCGGCGGGCGGTTGCCAACTCACCAGGCCTCACGGACATAGTGAACACGGCAAGCAGCAGGGTGGCCATATCAGGCCAGTCCCATGCGAGGCACAACGCTACCATGGCGCGCAGCAAAGCACGTGGCAGCGGTGGGATGGGACAGGGAGGCTTGGAAGGGATCCACCGTTTTGCCACATCCCACGCCTCGGTGAGGACGCCCCTCCACTGGGGCTGAAGAGCCTGCGCTCCCCGGATCGCATTCACAAGGACGAGGCGGGGGAGGCCAGCATCGTACAACCACACGCCGAAGGTCGCGAGCGCTCTCCCGAGCAAGATGCCGCTGCGGGCCCAAGTGGCAAGTGCCACACCTGTGTGCTCGACGCACCACACGTCAAACGCTTTAAGCGAACGAGTGCGCTGGTCGTCGCAAGAGGGGACGAGCCGACAGTGGCTGTCCACCTGCACCCCGAGGGCCTCGGAAGCCCCCTCGGGAAACGCAGGCGACAGAGAGGCAGGCCACTCCTGGCGCCCTGCCACGAAGGCTGGCGCGGGCGGCTCGCGACCAGACGAATTGGCCGGAGTGGTAGCTGCCGCTCCGGCGAGCGCCCGAACACGCCTGCGTTTGCGCTGTTCGGCGCGGGGGGCCTCGCTGACATCGCCGGTGCTCGGCGCGACTCCCGATTGGCGGTGCGTAGCGCTACCGGCCGTGGTGGGAGCACTCAGGGGCGCGCCGGCATCGGCTGCGGCGGCGCCTCCACCCGAAAAGCCCGAAGCGGAAACACAACCTCTGATGCATTCGGCAGTGCGAGAGCGGGCGATGCGCAACGCCGCCTTCTGGCGCTCGAGCTCGGCCAAGGACGACTGCAAAAACTCAACCGGACTTGGGCCCCCAGCCTCCGCGCCTCGACCGAATTCAACTTCGGTAAGGGCGGCGTCGCAAGCATCGACCGAGGCGCGGAACCGTGCCAAAGCGCGCCGTTCGTCCCGCACGCGCTTCGCAACCGTGGTCGTCGGGCCCACGACCCGGCCGGTGCGCAGTGCTAACCCGGTGAGCGGATCGGCACGGGAGTCGGACCAAGTGAAGGCGTCAGCGCGCTGGACGGCACGGGCGTCGGCGAGCCCCTCGGCACGCGAGTCGGCGATCTGGTCGACGCGGGAGTCAGCGAGCTGGTCGGTGCGAAAGTCGGTGAGCTGGGAGGGATGACAGTCAGTGAGCTGGTCGCCGCGGGACTCGGTGAGCTGGGCGTCGCAGGAGTCGGCACGCTTGTCGGCGCAGCAGGAGTCGGGAAGGCTGGGAACCGGCGACACCTCGCTGCGTGCTGCGCTGTGGCCCCACGGAAGCACGGCTCTGGGTTGTGCCGCCCCGGCGGTGGCCGCAATGGCAGCCCGCTCGCGGGTAGCACGCAGCATAACCGCTGCGCCCTGCGAGCGCCCGGCCAGCAGGGCAGGCGCAGAGCTGGCGCGCGGCGCGACGCTATGGGCGTCGGTGCGGCACCCTGGCAAGGGGGGCAAGGTGCTGGCTCGAAAGGACGGGAGCGCCGCGACCGCGGTATGGGCGGCCCTCAGGTCGGCCTCCAGGCGAGCTTGCGTGCGTCGCATGGCGGCAGTGGGCATCGCGGGGGTCTGCACTGCGCAACGTGGCGCAGCCCGCGACCCTGAATCGCACCAGCTAGCGACCGCGCTCGGCTCTGCGTTTGGATACGCACCATGGGCGTTCCGACGCTCCCCCGGCACGCCGCGGGGGCGAGCACCAAGGGAGGCGTCGAGAGCCGAATCCCGAGTGGTGACCCCGCGCGAGCGGTTCGTGTCGTCACGCCTTCCCGCCGCCAAGAGCCCTCCGCCTGAAGCACGGCGAGTAGCGCCGCCAGAGGCCGGGGCATCGGAGCCAACCACATCGCGCCCAGGCCCGAGGATGAAGGCTTTGGCGTCACAGAGAGCACGCCATTTCCTGCTGGCCTCGATCGACGTATCGCGGCCGGGATGGCAGGCCCAACCCAGCCGTCGAAACTGAGCGTTCACGCGATCAGTGGTCGCACCGCGCTCCAGGTGGAGCAGGCCGTGCGCAGCAGCAAGTTTGGCGGCACGAGCTTGGCGGTGGCGAGTCTGAATCGTGACGGGTGGACGACCCAGAAGACCCCCCAACGAAGCGGGAGCCGAGCCGGTTGCCTTCGACAGAAGCGAGACGGGGTGAGTGCCCCCCGCAGGCGTACCAGGTCGAGCAGCGGCGATTGCGTCGCACTTGGCGCGTGACCTCCGCTCGGGCGCACCCTCTCCTGGTCCCCCGCCGGCGGCACGAACTCCTCCCTGCGGGGCCGTAACAGCATCGCTGGAGAGGCGCATGCCTACCGGTGGGGACGGCGAAGGGCTTGGTACCCGAGGGGCGGCCGGCAGGCTGTCACGGGCGCGAGTGCATCGCGACGCGGAGAAGCTCACCGCTGCCGCGCTCGAGGGCACCTCGACGGAAAAGGGAG